AAAAAAAAAAAAAAAAATCATGCCGATCTGCTATTATGTCACTGCACCACGCCGAAGGCAGCGTGTGGGGATCCTTGAGGAAGGATGCGGCGTGGAGGATCCGGCTGGAGTCCCCCATGGCAAGGGGTAAGAGGAAAGGTAAGATCCCTGCATCTTATTACGGCTCTGACGATGATTAACCAATATGTGTCATTATGGTGCGCTGGGATCCCATCAGGGTGGCGGGGCCCAGTGCGTTTTCCTACTCGGTCTAGCGTGTAATGATTCGGCGTAACCGGATTCTTGAGAAAGGACAGGTTACGTAAACATTTACTGCTGTGGAGTAACTATACTATTTGTGCTCTGATATGCAGGAAGGAAAGTGTTGATTAACACAGAAGAAAAAAAAAAAGCGAAATTAGCTGATTGCATGCTCATAAGTGCAAGCTGTCATTGAACTGCTTTTAAAATAGACACAGCTGGGTGTTTGTGTTGAAAAATTTCTTGTGTTTTTGCTAATACTGAAATAAGCATGATTTTGTATACCAAACATTTTCAGATCATTAAAATTTGTAATCTGTGCTGGTTTTAAACACAAAGAAAAGAAACAGATTCATTTCGCTGTAAAATTTGCTGATATTATATTAACTCAATCAGGTCTGTACAAATGGTGTATTGTGCCTTATCAAATCTCTTTGATCCATTTAATACACAAAGTGCCAAACGTGTGTATTGTTTGTTAACATTGAACGTTTTATTCAAACCCCAGCTCTGCAGCTCACTGGAGGAGCTCTCCCCTTTGATGCAGCTCTGGCATCGCCTCTTGAAATTTTAATGCTCCGAGGTGTTTCTTGGGTCAAAGCTGAGTTTACTTTGCGTTCTGATCAGGGACGAAAATGCAGCAGGGAAGAAAATAAACATCTCATCCTCTTGCATTTCTGGACAATGGTCTAATACTGAGAGAAACGCGCTGCTAAGCCGCCTCATCGTTCAGATTTCATGTTCAGTCATTTGTCATGGCTGCAGAATAAAGCACTGTGCACAAACTTGGGATTTGTATTATGCTATTTTTTTAATGCCATGGATATACAGTTCTACCAAAAAAGGCAATGCTGCGTCCGAAATGTAGCACAATTCTTTCTGAGCCCATGAAGATTAATTCATTGTTTACAGCACAGGAGAGCGTATATAAGGGGAATCACGTCAATTATTAATTGGTCTTTAACTTTGGGCTCTGTCACATTTTCTTCCTCCGCAGATTTTGTTCTCCGTTTATGAGGCTGGAGACACGTATTTGGGAAGGAGGGAGCCTCGCTCGGACGCCAGGGCCTCCCCCTCGGCCCCGACCAGCCCCTCGTTCCCTTCGGGGGCAGCTCTGGGCCTCGCAGCGAGCAGCCGCTCTGCCCCCCAAGCTCTGCCCGGCCTCGGAGCCTGCGAGATGGGCCCTTTCCCTGAGGGAAGTTTTTCCTTGTGGGAGAAACGAGTGGAGCTCGGGGACAAGTGGGGGCACCTCGGAGCCTTTAGCAGCGGCCTCCCTGCGGTTTTCGGGTGCAGCTCGCTTTTCTCCCTTCATATACAAGTGTGTGCATATATATATGTGTGTGCGTGTGTATGTAGGTATGTATTAAAGGCCCGAGGAGAAGCGGAGCGGGGCGCCGCAGCTCCGCGCGCGCGGATCGCGCCGCTCGCGCGGGCGCAGCCGCTCTGCTGCCCCGCTCCTCGGGGGGCTCGAGCGCTGCGAACGGCGCCGCCGGAACGGGGGTCCCTTCCGGCCACGCGTGTCCGGGACCGCGCTCCTTGGCATCACCCTCGCGCGGAACGAGCCCGGACGCTCTGCCTGCACCCCCCTGACACCGTTGGGCACCGCGAACGCCTATACGGACTCCTACATAACCCTCGCCCCCTGACTCTCGGCTTCCCCTGTCTATTCCAGGTTGCCGCCGAGGCAAGGAGCGCTCAGCAGACACCGGTCCCCGCTGCGAGAGGGGACGGAGCTGGGGCTGGCAAGGAGCAAGAGGAGCCAAAGCGGGTGAAACGGGCAGCGGGGCGGGAGGAGGAGGATGGAGCGAGGCAGAGAGCGGGAAGCTGCCCCCTTGCAGCCGCACGCTGGGGTACGGGTGTCTTCCTGGGGCAGCTTCCAGCTAATCCCGGGCAGCTGCGCGAGGCGCCCGCGCTCCGCGGCCGCGGCCGCCCTGCCCTGCCCTGCGCCGGGTCCCTCGCGGAGCAGCCCGCGCTACGGGCTGCGCGATTAGGGTTGCGCGCACAGTAGGCAGCTAAACGTCCCAGTGAGAGGCCTTCGCACCCGGGACGCGGCGCCTCGGCGCCCATCAGGAGGCTGCGCGCTGTCAGCGGCTGCTCCCGCGCGCACACGCGCGCAACCGCGGCGCTGGCTCTAAATTAAGAAGCCGATGATTAAGACAAGCGTCTACGAGGCCTGTCATTTCAGCATCCTTCCATCATAACATTGTGGCACCGGGAAATTTTCTTGAAAACGCTGGAAAAAAAAAATATATGTCTGCGGGAGAGGCTGGTGTGTGAGGTAGCACAAATGTTAACACCGAGCCCGGGCCGGGAGCTGCCCCGGCGGCCGSAGAGGCTTCCCGGCGGGAAGGAGATGCGGGGCCGGGACGCGGGGAGGATCGGCCCCGGCTCCGAGCAGGTATGTGGGCACCAGGCGGCTCCAGCTGGACCCAGCCGAGATCCGCAGCTCGGCTCCTCGCGGAGGCTTCGGGAAACTCCCCCTAAAGACGGATCTGAAATGCAAAGTCCCTCCTGGATGACTAATGGTTACTGGCACTCGGCGCCCCTCGAAGGAGAGCGGCGCATATTGTGCTGAAGACCTTGCGAGCACCCTTTAAATACAAACATTTCGAGCCCCCCCATGCATCCCACCCCCGGAGTTTTCGGGCTCGTTGTGCTGTAGCTCCTCTCCCCCTCCTCTGAGCTCTCCAGCCCCCTTCCACCACCCCCCCGCTCAGAACTAATTGCTCCGCTGCTTCAACGCCTCCCCGAGAGCTCCATTTCTCCACCCGGGAAGCACGAAGAGCCGCCGCCCGGAGGAACCGCCGCGTTTGGTGGGGGGGGGGGGGATCGGGGCGGCGCGGGCCGCGGGGTCGCGCGGGGACGTGGGCGCGGGGGCGGGCGCCGCGGGGACAGCCGCGTTTCCGCGCGGCGCCGCAGCCGGGACCCGCAGCGCAGCCGGGGCTGCCGCCCCTG